GGTTTACTGCATTTACTTATAATTAATTACATAGTGCTTTCCTTTCAAAATAAATCAGCTTACAAGTATAAAAAAAGCAAACAAAATGGGAGCAACAAAAGAAAAATAAAGACAAAGTAGGATATGAAATTAAAGCAGGAATGGGACTTGAGAACACATTCATGTTGCTGCTAAGCCTCAAATTTATTCTAGCTTTTAAGAGTGAAACATGGGAAACCCAGTTAATTGAGCAATTCGATGTCTATAAGATAAGGTGAAACAGACCAGTTGTTCATGAAATGTTCAATTATACTTTGGAGTGTCATTTGTGAAGAATAATAGTAATGTCGAAATAAAGTCATATTGACATTAAATTGCATAATAGCTCATCTCTTTTGAATTTCCAAATACAGAAAACATTCAAAAATTAATTCACTCAGAATAAACGTGTTCTGGCTGGGTGCTGTGGCTCACACCTGTAATCCCAGAACTTTGGGAGGCAGAGGTTGGAGGGTTCCTTGAGACCAGGAGTTTGGGCTGCAATGTTCACACCATTGCATTCCAGCTTGGGTGACAGAGTGAGACCCTGTCTGTTTAAAAAAGAGAGAGAGAGACAGAGATTTTCTTTAAAACTCTGTTTACATTTTTATTTTTTCAGTGAAAGATGTGGAGTAAGGGGGGATTCCTGTTTCCTTTTTTTTTCTTTTTTTTTTTTTTTGAGAAAAGTGTCACTCTGTTGCTCTGGGTAGGGTGCAGTGGTGTCATCTTGGCTCTCTGCAACCTCAAATTCCTGGGCTCAAGTGATTCTCCTTCTTCAGCCTCCTAAGTAGCTGGAACTACACGTACACGCCATAATGCCTGGCTAGTTTTTCTATTTTTAGTAGAGATGGTTCTCACTCTTGCTCAGGCAGGTCTCAACTCCTGAGCTCAAGCAGTCCTCCTGCCTCGGCCTCCCAGAGTGCTAGGATCATGAGTATGAGCCACCTCGCTAGCCTCTGTTTACTTTTTAAGTGAAAAAATTTTGAGGAAATAAATGCATTTGCCAGTTTGCTCAAATATTTCTCCATCCTGTAACTTACCTTTGTTCAAGGAGAAAACCTCACTATCCATTTATTATTTCCATTTTCTATGTCATTTAGAGACTACTCCAAACCTTAATCACCTTTGTAGTCTACATTCAGGCTTTCCTCCTTCACACCCAGGCAGTCTTAAATTCCAGTCAGTTCTTTCTTGAGAAAGACCAATGTACAGTTCCCTTCCTTTCCAGCTCTAATTCCCATGCCCTAATGCAGACCTCCATAACTTTTATGTGGGCGGTTGAGACAACTTCCGGTATCAATCTCCAGACTTTTCTTTCAGTTCATTACTGTTCAGGGTGTGGACCTTGGATCACCTGCATTAGGATAGCCTGAACCTGAGGTCCTTGTTAAAAATACTGTTACTTTAAAGAAAAGGACTCTAGCTCACCATTAGATAATGCTATGCCTTACTCAGAGTAAGGTGCCTCACAAATATTTAAGTAGCTGAAACTTTATTTTTATACTACATTATAGTCTTACAATATATTTTCATTTATTTCATTTACTTATTTTCATTTATTTATTTACTTATTTACTTGAATTATTTTATTTAGTCTTCTGAAATAAACTTTTCTATTTTTCCTTCTTTTTCTTTGTAGTATTTATAGAAGTGAATGTGTTATTCACTAATGATAAATTAGCAACCCTTGAAAGTGGGAATTATAAAAATATTAATATAAACTTAATCTTTCACCATCTCCAATTGTTGATTATCTGTTTTTTTGGTCTATGTCTTTTACATCTTGGTCAAGAAACATTTTCAGGAATCATTTACTACCTTAAGTCTTAGAAATTTATAAAAGAATTAATTCTTTTATATATAATTTATGATTGACAAAAAGCCAATAGCATATGAATCAAGTGATATAAATTATATAAGCTTTTCCTGAGGAAAAGTTTATTGAGATAAATACTGTTTGTCCTTGCTCACAATTATTTTTGCTCTTCAGTGACTGAAATCTGTAATGTAAGGTTCATATTTTCCTAACCATCCTTTTCTCATTTTCTAAAATCCACTAGTCAGAAGATATTTTATGTAACCCAATATATGCAATCCCTTTAGAAAGTACTTACTTCCTAAATGCCAAGGACAAAAATATAAATGATAATGTCACTGTATTTGTCTCGTAAATTTGGGGCACCAACATATTCTATGCTTTTTTGACACAGGTTTATTTTTCTAGCTGAAAAAATATACCTGTAAAAATTGTGTCTGGGTAAGAAAAGTCAATAAAACCCTTTAAATCTTGGCCAAAAATTGATTTTATTATTAATAAGATACTTTAAAAACTGAATACAGATTTGTTTACAGACCTTTTTATTAGTCTCTCTTCTTTTCCAAGCATCACAAATGTCAGCTTTATATTTTTCAATTAATATAATACATGCTGCCTTGCTGCCTAAGAGCATAATAGAAAAATGAAAACCTGAACTAATCAAAAACTTCCTGTGCTGTTGAACTTAACATAAAACTGTTCTGATATCTTCCTCCTTAGTAGTTTATGGCCTAAAAGTACACTTGGTACAACTTTTGTTCCTATTTACTTCATTGGAAATCTCAGCAAAAATTTTCATTTTCCTCAATTTTTAAAATTATTTTTAACATGAGAATTGCTGAAGGGAGTTAGTATAGTATTATTTTTAGCATAAAGATATGGACTATGTACATTAACTTTTTTCTGATCCAGTCTTTCCTTGACCTAACTTTGGCTGTGTTTTCATTGCTGAATGTTGTGATCAGTTACTTATCAAGTATAAGAACACATTTGTAACATCAGTTAAGCACACATAGTGGTCAAGAGCACAGGTTTTAGAGTGAGACAGTCCTGGGTTTGAATCATAGTGCTGTCCTTGCTGTCTGTGTACCTCAGACAAATTCTTTAACCTCACTGGGCCTGAATTCCCTCAATTGTAATATAAAGACAATGAAAGCCTCCATACGAGATAGAAATGTTGTAAAGATTAAAGTATATAATGTATTCAAAGTACCTGGAATAAAACACAGTGCTTGGAATGTGGGATGTAGCTATTATCCATTATAGTAGCAGGAGTACCCATTAACTGAGATATTCATAGACTCCTTGCCCCAGGTTAGGAGTCATGGTATAAAATAAAACTGAAGAACTTTTGATCGTTTTTGGCTGTAGAATTTTTTTCACTGTTTCAAGCAAAATTTCTACTTAGAGATTAGTTTACAGAAAAACACATTTACAAATTTCCTTTAGCCTTCACACTGAAGTAATTAACTCGTAAGAAAAAGCAAGACATAATAAGATAGTTATTTTAAAGGGATATCTCTCCAATATCTAAATATATTATTTTGTATTTTAAGGTAATATATCATAATGTATTTGTTTTGATTGACATATGCAAGATATGTGAAAACCAGACTCAGATTGTGCTTATGCACTAAAGCAGAATGATTCTTTTTATAATACACAAGTGTTATGTTGGGGTATGTGCTTCTGTCAGGAACTTTTAATGGGAAATTTCAAATATATACAAAAGCAGATAGAAAAATATATACATGTACCCATCATCAGCTTTAGTAATTATCATTATGGCCAATATTGTTTTACACATACCCCCATCTGCTTCTTTCCTTTCATAATTCATTGAAGCAAATCTTATATATTTTATTTCCTCTCTAAATGTTTTACATTTGTATCTCTAAAAGATAAAGACTCTTATATAACCACATAACCATAGTACCTTTATCATACTTTAAAATAATAATCTCTTGATACCATCAATTATCAGTCATTATTCAAATTTTTACTTTTTTTTTTTTTTTTTCCTGAGACAGAGTCTTGCTCTGTTGCCCGGACTATAGTGCCATGGCATCAGTTCACAGCAACCTCAAACTCCTGGGCTCAAGCAATCCTCCTGCCTCAGCCTCCCGAGTAGCTGAGACTACAGACATGTGCCAACATGCCCCACTAATTTTTTTCTATTTTTAATAGAGATGGAGTCTCGCTCTTGCTCAGGCTGGTCTCGAGCTCCTTGACCTCAAGGGATCCTCCTTCCTCAGCCTCCCAGAGTGCTAGGATTACAGGCATGAGCCACCATGCCAGCCTTGTCTCTTAACTGTTAAAATTTTCCTAACAGTGTATCTATTTGAATCAATGTCCAAGTAAAGTCCACAGATTGGGATTGATAAAACTTTTAAGGGTCATCTAATCTTCCAACAGTTGTTTTTTTTTTTTACTTCTTGCAATTTAATTGTTGAAGAAACTATGTCATTTGTAGAATTTCCTACAGATTGGATTTTGCTGTATAGTTTAACACATACCTCTCACCCTGTCTTTCTTTTAAAGTTATGGTAATTAAATCTAGAGCCTTGATAAAATCTAGGTTTGATTTTTTTTTTTTTTAGGGGCAAGAGTACTTTATAGCTGATGGTATGAACCTCCATCAGGAGGCTAAATCTCTCCTGTTGCCTCTCTTTTTGATGATAGGTATTGCAAAATGCTGATATTCTTTTACTTTTTGTCTTCATTTATTAGCTGTAATATTCCTATAAAGAGGAACTTTCGTCTGTTTGGGTAGCCTAGTTTCTTGGTTGAACTAATAGCCCACAAGAACAATCCATAGGGGGCTCATCACACAACTAATATTTTCAAATATCTGCTAACTTTATGGTCATTATAGTTCAGATATGGTGATTAAGATATGTATCTCTAGCTATATGTTTATAAATACAGATGCAAATCTCTCTATATATTTAATTAAAGTTTAAGTCATTAAAGTAAGAATACTAAAGATATATCAAAGGTCATGAACAATTATAAGTCTAAATTAAAAAAATAAAATTCCTAAAGTTCATTCCAGCTTTCTAAATTTCAAAATATCTGTGATTTTTACCTAGAATTTTTTGACATATTGATCTCTTATGTATATTTTGTTTGTAATATATTATTTCTGTAAAATGTTAATTAAAAGGGAATGCAGTGGTGTCTTTTGAAAGAAGAGGATGTCATTCCTCGTATCAGGGCAATGGAAGGTCGTAGAGGGAGACCGCCAAATCCAGAAAGACAGCGAACAAGAGAGGAATCCAGGATGAGACGTCGGAAGGGTCGACCTCCCAATGTTGGCAATGCTGAATTCTTAGATAACACAGATGCCAAATTGCTAAGAAAACTGCAAGCTCAAGGTAAGAAATATAATGTATCTGACACTAATAATCATATTAAAAATCATACTTAAAGTATTTCTTATGTTTTTGACTTAGGAATGATTGACACTGCTCTCAATTTCTAAAATGTAGATATTTATGTGAGAATAAAATGAAAAAATAAGGAGTCCCACTGGTAACTGGAGTTCTTTGATTAAGTAATCTTCTTTCAAGAATAGTCATAAACTTATCCTACCCTTTGTGTTTAGAATTAAAAAAAGTAGGTGTTAAGCTTTTAAGGCTTGCAAAGAAAGGGAATCAACCAGCACTTGGCACATGCCTTAAGGTGGTGCCAACCTTCTGGAAATTCTCATTTTAACAGCTCCCGATTCCTTGAGGTGGTACATGGGAATACCTCCAAAATATGTGGATCTGTGGAGTAAATTTTCAGTCAGAGAACTCCAATTACTGGTAAGTAACCCCAGTCTTTTAGTTTGGGTTCTCCTGTAGTCTGAATATAGTATATATATTTTCGAAATGCCCAATAAATAGATTTAAATCAAAAAATATGTTGAGATCACTAAAAGGTATCATTTATCAGGCTTTTAAAGTACTCATAACCTCAAATGCATTAATAATTTGAAATTACATATAAATTATCATTATGAAGTTTCTATGCTACACATGGCACAGAGAAGGCTGAGTAAAATGAAATGGTTTTCCTTTGCAGTTTGAGTTACTATTTTAAAATGTGAAGTCTCTTGAGGCTGTCTGAATATAACTATCATCAAATATGTAGATGTCTTATATTTGCAAGCATATAGGTAAAGATATATGACAATGTAAAATAAAGGTTTAATAATGAAAATTTACTTAAACAGAATTTTACTTCTTCTGATGAGTTTTTTACTATTCCTATAAATAAACACCAAAATGTGAAGGAAATGCCTGAAAAACTTATTTCTGTTTATTGTAAGCACCATCATAATATTGACTTCTTTGTTGCTGCTTTGTTTTTATTATAGAACAAAAATGTCCATGGCAAAACCTCATTGAACAGAATGCTTTAAACTAAGACAATCTCACTCATCAGTAGAATAATTAACAGGTTTTTGTTAATCTTTCCAGAAAAGTGTATACCCACATACAAACACATTTAAACATTCACATATATATATTTTATTTATAAAATAAGTGGATTTATAGTATACATACTATTTAACTTGCTCTTTTTCCACTTTATGTTGAATATCTTTCTATATCAGCACTTACAAATCAACATAATTCTTTTAATGGCTAAATATTAAGTGATGCCACATATGGTACTACTATACTTCATTTAATCAGTCTGTTGTTGATGAATGTTTAAGCTACTTCTGGATCTTTGCTATTGCACTGTTGCAATAAGTATATATTGCACATATCTAAATATACATATCATTTTCAATTTTGGTCAATAGCAGGCAAATATTGTCTCCAAGAAGGTTGCACCAATTCGTATTTTGACCAATGGCATGTAAGTTAGGCCTAGCATATAACCTAATATCATGTAAGTTTTTTTCTTAGTCAAATATTTTCTCATGTTAGTCAAATATTTTTCAAATGTTATTTTATTTGGCTTCTTATAAGACTTTCATCTCTCCAAATAGTTAATGCAGAAGGTTAAAAAGAAAAAAAATGATAAACAGACATGGATAAGCTTTAAAAATTTGTTATTGTCAATAAACTATTTGTTCTTCTGAAGAGTGTTTAATGGTGGGGAATGTAGACATTGTTTGCATAAAATAAGAGAGCTTGAAATTAACTGATACTCAAAACATGGGCTCTTCATGCATATTTTGCATATTTAATACAAGTATCATTATTCCTTAGCATCCAAAATGGCAAATTTAAATTTGCAAACTTAATTATATTTTTATTGTAACAAAAGAGAAGTTAATTATTCAACTTTTACCAATATTTTCTCTCTATAATTAGAATTGATTTATATTTGATTACATAGTTCTTTCTTGTCTTGGTTTGCATTTTGCAACTTGTGTTACCTTTGACCTTATTGTGTACACGGGTTTTTTCACAACATGTATAATAAAAATTAAATATTTGACAGTAAATAAATAATATTTACAGTATATGGGATATAGTTTACATAGTTATGGGGGATAAGAAAAGAGAAGGAATCATTTTATTACCTCTTTGATTTCTAAAAGACTTCTACATTAACAGTTTGGGGGATTATCTAAGAAGATTCTAGAAGAAGTTTTTGTTATGTTATTGTCCTAGTAGGACTTAACTAGACTGAAAACTAGACTTAATTTGAAGAAAAATTCAGAGTACCGACATAAATGTGAGTTTTGAATGTACATCCAAACATTGTGAAATGAGAGCTCTGATTTCTCATAGAGTACAGATAAAAAATCTGATAAAGGAGGCCAAGCATAGTGGCTTACATCTGTAATGCCAGCACTCTGGGTGGCCGAGGCAGAAGGATCACTTGAGATAGGAGTTTAAGACCTGCCTGGGAAACATAATGAGACACTGTCTCTAAAAAAAAAATAGAAAAATTAGGCCAGACATGGTGGCTCACGCCTGTATCATCTAGCACTCTGGGAGGCCGGGCTGGCAGATTGTTTGAGCTCAGGAGTTCGAGACCAGACTGAGCAAGAGCGAGGCCCCATCTCTACTAAAAAAAATAGAAAGAAATTAATTGGCCAACTAATATATACAGAAAAACTTAGCCGAGCATGGTGGCGCATGCCTGTAGTCCCAGCTACTCAGGAGGCTGAGGCAGTTTGAGCCCAGGAGTTTGAGGTTGCAGTGAGTAAGGTTGATGCCACGGCACTCTAGCTCAGGCAACAGAGTGAGACTCTGTCTCACAAAAAAAAAAAAAAAGAAAGAAAGAAAGAAAGATAAATTAGCCATGCATGGTGGCACACACCTGTAGTCCCAGCTACTTGGGAGACTGAGACAAGAGGATCACTCCTGATCCCACGAGTTCAAAGTTACAGTGAGCTATGATGACACCACTGCACTCTAGCCTGTGCAATAGAGTGACCCTCTCTCTTAAAAAAAAACAAAAACAAACAAACAAAAAAAACCCGACAAGGTTTGAATATGATAAAGTCTATATAAATAAACCTGCTCGTTAATTGACCAATGCTGCTAACATGTCAAATTTTCCAAAATATCAAGTAGTACCCCTCCATTTCATATATCTTAGAAACTGAGATGCCATATAAGTAATCTATATGACAGATGCACCATTATTTTAAGATGTACCACTAAGAAAGGAAAGTACGGCCAATTGTCAGACACATTCTGATTTAAGGGATGTAAAAATGTTTAGAAATCAAAGAAAAAAATCATGTCCAAAATACCCCTAATCCTATATGAAAATAAACTTTATTTTAAAAATAAACTTTTATCTTTGAAATTAAGGCAGACAAGTAATATCTTAAAGCTATAAATGATATTTTTCAATTAATATTTCAAAAATCAATTATAGCATAATATGTTCTCCAACCATAAACCAAATAAATAAGAAGATATTGGAAGTAGTTTATTCCTCAGAGCCTGGATAAACTTTTCTAGGTCTCTAACTCATTTTCTTTCCTCCAAAAGTCTCTTTAATTTTTTTTTTCGCATCTTCTCCTACTATTCATAATGTAAAAATTTAAGCTATGTACATTTTAAATAATGAATCAAAATTGTATATTACTTGCTAAAATGAAAAGATATGAGTTGAACTTTTTATGTTTTTTCTGTCCAAAGAGTTGAAATATAAAAATTACTGTGACTTGTGAGGGGCCTGAAATTGACTGATACACTTCTACACAAACACACATCTATATATATTATACAAATTCCTTATTCAAAGTTAAACTTCTGTTAGAGAACATCAGCTTAGCTTGAAGCAATAGATCATACATATGTAACATTTTCTAGGAAACATTTTAATCACTTAGCATATCTTTACATCTTAACACAGCATTATAGCAGAGTTCAAAACTTTCAGTTCTTAAATGTGAAAAAAATATTTATCTGACATTATTATAGATGTTAATGGCATTCTTTTTATGTATTATTATCAGAGGACTGATACTGCAGGTCATTTTATAGGTTTTTATTTCCCAGAGTATTTAGTTAACAGGAGATCCTTTGTGATCTCAGAAATTTTTGATGATGCCTATAACCTGATATTGAAAATTATTAGAAAATTGGAGTTGTACTTTATCATCAGCTTTCATTTTATCTTTCTATTAACACTTCCAATTTCCTAGGTAAAATTAAACCTTTTTATATCTCTTCCCCTTTTTAAAAAAATCTTAATCATAGGAAATTAGCCATAGTAACCAACTTCACTTCAGCTATTACAAAGACAAATGAGGTTCAGTTTTTAGCTAAAATCTCAAGGAATTCAAATTTTGCTTAAAGTTTTTTAGAGACAGTAGCATGTAGACCATGGAGTCAGAGAGACCTGGGCTTTATATCTTGGCTCTGCAATTTAACCTCTATAAGCCACAGTCATTTTCTGTGTAAGCTGGGCATGATTTTGCTTACCTTATAAGGTAAGTTGTGAAGATTAGACAAGATTATGTAACTTAAGACAATACCTGCATTCAATAAATAGTGGAAATTATTAGAGCTCAAGTGATTCAGGTGCTAGCAATCATATTCATTATCAATAAATATAATCTGTAGGTTCCTTATACTCTTCATCAACTACAAAATTTAAAACAATGTCTATTGTAAAGTGGTGCTTCCTAAAAGATTTTCTGAGTAATACTATGATACACCACTTACAGAGTTAGAAGTATTCAAATCAAATTTGCAAGCAGAAGAAAGCAATGACATTACATATTTTCTATATCCATTATACCTATTGCCACAGTCATGCTGGATAACAAACCACCAACAAATATTAGTGGCATACAATACTAAGCATTAATTGCTTGTGCAAATGGAATCAGCTGGAAGTTATCTAAGCAGTTTTGCTGATCTTGGCTGGACTTATTCACATGGATGAGGTCAGCTGGCTCCCAATCTCCACAGCCTAGCCCAATCATGTCCTCAGTAATGCATAACATACAAGAATAAAAGTAGAAAGAGTGCAATTATACTTTCAAGCTCTACATTTATCACAACTGCTAATATCCTTTTGACCATAGAAGTTCACATGGCTGAATTCAGAATCAAGGTACAGGAAAATATATTCCACCTCTTGATGGGAACCGCTGCAAAATCATATTGCAAATGACATGGGTAGAGGGAGGAATAAAGAATTGGGGCCGGCCGGGCGCGGTGGCTCACGCCTGTAATCCTAGCACTCTGGGAGGCCGAGGCGGGCGGATTGCTCAAGGTCAGGAGTTCAAAACCAGCCTGAGCGAGACCCCGTCTCTACCATAAAAATAGAAAGAAATTGGCCAACTAATGTATATAATATAAAAATCAGCCGGGCATGGTGGCGCATGCCTGTAGTCCCAGCTACTCGGGAGGCTGAGGCAGGAGGATCGCTTGAGCCCAGGAGTTTGAGGTTGCCGTGAGCTAGGCTGACACCACGGCACTCACTCTAGCCTAGGCAAGAAAGTGAGACTCTGTCTCAAAAAAAAAAAAAAAAAAAAAAAAAAGAATTGGGGCCATTAATTATGTTCATCTACCCCAGTTTCATACATTTGTCCTTGAAAATTATGAGAACTAGATTGTCCTTAAAAATCATTGACATTTTCTATTTTTATTTAGGAGAGTTAGTCCCACTCTTTCATCCATGAAAATATCACTGGATTCAGGAACTTAAACCATTAGTATAGCTAATTGAAATGTTTAATACTAAGTTTGTAGGGGAGGGGATTTTGTATTTGTTTTATTTTGAGGTCTTATCCCTTTTTTATATGTTTTAGTATTTTAAGACCGAAACTGTTCTATTCTTACATATAACAGCTACTTTCCTACTAAGTGGGGTTTACTGGAAATGTGAAAAAAATGTACTTAAATAGCCTCTCTGATGAGGATTAAGGGAAACATTTTTATGGATTTCCGTGTACTCATCTTTGATGAAATAATTTGACAATTTCTGAGGGAAATAAACATGACATTTTCTACCACACTACTCTCCTACTTCACATCTGTCTAATCTTTAGGCAAGTCTCTTAAATATTATATCATTCATGATCATTTTATTTTCACATAGTTATTAAGTTATCAGTTGTGTAAAGTTGTTAATAAGATTCTTTGAAATTTTGTGTTTTTCAGAAATAGCCAGGCAAGCAGCACAAATAAAGCTTTTGAGAAAACTTCAAAAGCAGGAACAAGCTCGGGTTGCTAAAGAAGCTAAAAAACAGCAAGGTGGGTAATTTAAATAAAAACATAAACTTGAAGAGAGTATTGGGGGATTCATAAGAGCCTCTTCTTCTTCATTCTTTCTCTGATACCTATACTTTGGTTTCTCATCACAGCAATAATGGCTGCTGAGGAGAAGCGAAAACAAAAAGAACAGATAAAGATTATGAAACAGCAGGTATGTTTATGCTTTGGAACTGACTTTTAAAACGTGGACCTTATTTTGAGGATTTATTTCTATATATACATTATCTTTAATTTCTTAAATAACTGTATTTCACATTTATGTTATATATCTTATTTAGAAAGTTGATCTCTTCCATTAGCTAAAATTTTACCTCACTTTTTAAAATCTTTTACTTCCAAGTTTTTAAAAAAATGATTTCCAAATGGTAAGTTTGTATAAGTACTTTTAATATCCTTGTAGACTTTAAATATAAGTTGACATCTTGAACAATTTTCAGACTTTTTAAAATTAATATATTAGTGAATGAAATATATTGCTTGAATGTTCAAATCTCGATAAGAAAAGCTTACTGTTCCAAAATATGTAAAATATTAGTAAAAAATTAAAATTAAATTCAAGTTATATATGATAAGATTTGCCCTCATTGCTTCTGGATTCTTTCAGAGTTACTTAAAAATTGCTTCTGCAAAAAAATAACAATACTATTTTTTTTTTTAGCATATCCAGAGTTCTGTCTTATATCTACAATATCTCTCCCTATGTGGTTTTCAAAATTAAGGTTAAGTCAGTAGGTAATTTTTAAATTCTTGAAGGTAAAATATTAAGTGAGAAAGTATTCAAGTTCATTTAAGATGGGAGTGTGTAAACTACTCTATCATCTATCCAGATACTTGTATTAACATTTAATCAAAAAGGAAATGGGGAGAAAGTACTATTTTTAAAAAAATTTTAAACAGCAAGTAGTTATTTCTAAGTGTGAGATGAAATCAGATGTGTTACCATGAAAATAGCTGCTAAATAAATAGCTCAATTAGGATTTGATGTGATTATCTCTAAGCCTTTTCTCAGTATTGACTAAAGCTATAGAGAGGGTTGATACAGAGTTGGGATTCGGAATTTAGTATTTGTAGTCAGGCAGCCTAGAGTTAAATATGGGCTCTGCTACTTAATAATTTTGTGTCCTTAGATGAATAACTTAACCTCTAAGTCTCTGTTTCCTCCATTGTAAAAGAAGAATTGCATATCTGAAGATTAATGAGATAATGAGTGTAAAGTGCCTACCCCTGTGTGTGGCACAAAACAAATGCTCAGATTTTTAAAGATATATATAAAACATCAAACAATATAGTTATACTCTTTTACCATAATTTAAAGTAATCAATTATAAACTTGAATTCTTTGGTTTGTCAGTCATGACTGCTAAACATTGTAAGATTGGCTAATGAATGCATTTGTTAAAATATATTTACAGAATAATATATGTATATGTATGTGTGTGTGTGTGTGTGTAAAATAAGTTCACTTTTCATTTTTAAGTAAAATACTGTTGTTTCCATTATGCTTTTTTTTTTTATAGCTCATTCTGTTTCCTGATAGCTAGAGATCCATTAGATCCCATCCATACTTTTAATTCAGCTTTGTGATCCTAAAGTCTTTAAGTGGCTACAACCTAAATCCACATGGTCTTTGCTGTTCATTGAAAAAGCAATGGAATCCAAAGGTTACAGCAACATTAATACAAATAAACTGGTCTTAATTTTTATCAAGAAATTTATCTGAGGCTAATCTTAGAGTATCATCTGACATATTCTTTATTGCCAACTATGTGAATAAAAGTATAAAACAGTTCTACTCACACAGTCTGTTGTATAATACCTATTTTAAAGTCAGCATTAGATTTAGAATAAAATAGTGGCGTGTGCTTCTCATCCCTGGGATTATTTTTTCCACTCAGTAAGCCAAAAATATCACCAGATAGTCCTTAAGGCAGTTTTGTGAAAGGTTGAAGAAGCATTATTATGAAGCAGGAGGTGTACAGGCATTGGAATCTAACCAAGGCTCTGTATTTACTATTGGACTTTAGGCAAAGTGACCAGCTCAGTGGTTGAATATTCAGCATTATGAAGTTAACCTATATTATAATAATTTATAATGTTTACATGCTAATGAAAGTACTAGCATTCATATATATGTGTGTGTATATGATATATATATATGTATATATATATCACTTGGACAATTAAGATAAAGCTTTAGAGAATTTACTTAAGCCCAAGATTCCATATCTCTGTGTGTAAGAGAACAATGAATGGCTTTTGCTTACTTGAAAACATATGCCACCTTATAATCTTATGATTGAAAAGAATGGAAAAATTATATCAAGAGTATGCTTTTCTTAGGTCTCAAGTTCTAATCGAAATAAATACTTCAAATATAGATCAAATACAATCTTCTAAGACTTGAAATGACATGAAAAATATACTTTGGGGTTTTTATTTTTGGTAAGCTGTAATCAATATTCAGTACCAATATAGGATCACTAACAGCAAAATTATAGAATGTAATCAGTCTACTAAAATTAGAACAGTAATTCCTAAAATCTCATTATCCTGCAGTAGACCCCTTCAGAGAATCAATAACATCAGTGTACAAAAAGAGAAATAAATTTAAATGCATTTTAAAGTATAGCTTCAGAAGGTACAAGTACCATCTGGAAATTGGACTAGGTATTGTGATACAGCAGTATAAAATATGTTGCCTCCAGAAATTCTAGGACAAGTATAATTTGCAAGAATTTGGGCAGAAAACTTTGGGTGTTTTTTTTTTGAAAACTTGTGTTTATTCTCATCAATGCCAATTTGGTGCTTACAAAGAGATTTATGAACATGAAATTGCTAACAATGTGCTCATAGCATATGAAATATTTTTTTAAATCACAATGTAAATTCTTATCAAAATTTACATGGTCACTAAATTATAAAACATAAGCAATAACAAGTTCATTACATTTAGACAATGTGTACACCAATTATGTCATATAAATAATTCCCTGGAATGTTAAATTTTAATTAATCCATTTTTAAATAAGGTTACAAATTATTTCTGAAATGGGCTAATTGTGGTAGTTAAAGTAATGTCATATTATCATGTTATTCAGCATATGAAGTAAATTTTAGAATGGAAATTATTAATAATCTATTAATAGTCTATTAATAATCTATTACAGTTACACTGTCTACTTTTTTTTTTTTTTTTTTTTTTTTTTTTCCAGCTGACACAAAAATATGGAACGCTTCACGAATTTGCGTGTCATCCTTGCGCAGGGGCCATGCTAATCTTCTCTGTATCGTTCCAATTTTAGTATATGTGCTGCCGAAGCGAGCACTACACTGTCTACTTTTTAAAGCATTTTTTATTTAATCATGACAAAGTGAGAAAGGACAAGCACTTCTCCCTCTTTTATAGAAGAATAGTTATTATTTGCACAAGATCATTCAATAAATGACAATAACCCAGGATCAGCCTTATACTTTCTGATTTCTGATACACTATTTTTTCTTCTATTCTGTCCTATATTTATTTCAAATTAAGTATTATTTGCAATTACAGATATTTATGAAGATCCTCAGACTATATGAGTTTAATCAGCTTGGTTTACCTGGTTTCTGTATATTTATTTAGCATTTGTACTTTATAAATTATTATGAGACATTGTGTAAAATGTTAATTTAAGACATGAAAATATATATGATATACTAAATAAATATTTATATCCAGCATGGACAGTCTTTAGTAATTTTGTACTTACAGAAAATTAATAATTTATGTCTTCAATTATTTGATTCCACTTAAATACTCTTTACCTAAATATTTAATTTATTTTATTAACTTAAATTATAATTTTTTCTACAGGAAAAAATTAAGAGAATACAGCAAATCAGAATGGAAAAAGAACTTCGAGCACAACAAATTCTAGAGGTATATTTCTAAAATTTAATATAATTAAAATAATATAGTCATATATTTTTAAATCTGCAAAATAAAAATCTTGCCTACATGTTCTTTCCACTAATATGAATTAATTTGTTCATCAGAAATTCTCTTTAGACATAATGCATAGAGTAAGACTTTATCTGAACCTTTAATTTTAGCAAATTCATCTAATTCTTACCGTAAAAACCGAGGAAATGAAACAAAAAGTATAGGAAAACTGCTGAGCAGCCAATATAGTTGTCATGAAATTCGTGTGCTAAAACTCATTACTTTTATACAAGTAAAGAACTTCCTTTTCTTTACTTATAGAGGAGTCATTAGGGATTATTGTCAGATATTACTTTTAACTTAGAAATCGATGTTTACAAAGGTAAACATTCCAAAAATGAAAGTAAATTTTTTTGCTTTTTTTCCTAATCCCATGATAGATTATAAATATAGATTTTAAATGTAGAAACAGTTTTACTGGATTTTCTGTTTTCTAGCATATCCCCATTTCCTATAAGCTGATTAGAATAGGGATAGAGGACATATATTGGCAATAGCAAAATAGCCAAAAGACAGCAAGGGAAAATACAGAAAAACACCACCTAGCATATATAGGAACTCAAAAGCCTAGCAACTATAATTTTTTAGTTGAATAGCAAGCAATTTTCAACACCTTAATCGCCCAAAGGTATTACTCTTTGGAATTGTGCAGTATAATAACTGATATTCAAAACAATTGCCCTGAGTCATCAAGAAAAAGCCAAATTATGTTTAGTGTACTGTGTCTAAGCAAGCATATGTCTCAAAATTATTTCCATCCAAAACAGTGAAAATAAACTTTTAATGTTTAAAATTATTATAACCTCTCAGCTATTCAGGAAATTATTCTTTAGAGAACAGTTTATTCCCTGAGGACTCCAAATAGCTCAAGTATTCTATGTTAGTTTTTTCTTCCTAGATATACACATGTATTTCCTTACCCATTTCAAATTAATTTTAAAACCCATAAATTGAAAATATTTCTGTTTTAAAGCAAATTGACAATAATTGCTGGATAGTTAAGAAAATACTAGCTAGTTAATGACTTTAAGATTATAAAACTCACATTTGATAGCATGATCTTGATTGTCAAAATATGCTACATGAAAGAGTACAAGTTACCATTCTGTTAAAAAACAAATGCTTGAATTTAACCACAATATACAGTGATCAGGAAAATCAGATTTAATGTTTCATTTAGTTTATATAGCCAAATCATGGATTTCTTTTATCTCAAATTTCAAATATTAATAAGAAATTTCAAATAAAGTAGATGTACATTTTTAAATATCACTGATTTGTTCTTGATATAATTTTTATTTGTCAGTTAAAATCTATCTTGTTTTCTGTATCTTTACAGTGATTACATTTTAATTTAAATCAGAAAAACAAAAAATAGCAAAAAAAATCATAAGCACTCAATTATTTCAACTTTTAACAAAGCCAGAAGAAGAAAAGCTGCCATATTCTTATGAATCTATTAAATTTTGCACATTTTAATGCTAATCTGTAAATTAGAAACAAAACTAGTATGTTAAATATAGCATTAACTGGGGGAAATCTGTAATTGTCTACATGTATGTTACATATTGTTTTGTATGTTGTGAGGCATGTAGCTTCATTTCAAGTCTGAGATTATTTGCAAGTTGTAGTGCTGCTGTTGCATGACTTTGAGACCTGTTTTGCATGCACAGGCTAAAAAGAAAAAGAAGGAAGAAGCGGCAAATGCCAAATTATTGGAGGCCGAGAAACGAATAAAGGTTAGTTTAGATGAGAATCAGAGTTTTTATTTTTCAAAAATAAAAACTATATGTTATACTAGCATCAATTATATGACAAAAATAGCTTTCCTCAATGGCTATCTAAAAAGTATGTTTAGCAGATACAACATGTGTATAATGTGTGCCTTTATTTCTGTGTATATTATATGTATATCATTTTTTTTCATTGTACAGATTTTATGTGATGCTTTGAGCTCTTTAAATATGAAATATCAAATCAGAAATGCAAACTTTTGCTTAATACCTGTATATAGTTTTGCTGGATAAGAATGATCTTCCCAAAACTATTTTGTATGTCATTGATGTTTATGTTCCAAATTGTGTCTCAAATCTGATTCTCCCCTTTAAACTTTCTCTTTGTTAATATCCAGCATTTATTTCATCTATTAAAAATGAAGAGCCTACAGAAACAAAAACTAAACTTTTATCAACTGTTATTTACCAATAATAAAATTAGCCATTGTTAATTATTTTAAGGTCAAGTATTTGGGGGTTTCATTTTGATTTTCTGGCATGAAGCACATGAGAGTTATCCCTTCTCCTCCCCTCCCATTCCTTACCTTACAATTGTGATAACTGAATATTGCAAGGGGGCAGCTGAGCAAACTTCTAGTGCTGGTGCTAGAAACAGTCACCACAAGTTTACCTCATAAAGCCAGAGAACTGTTTGTTATCTTTTCTGTATTACTTTATTTTTAAGATTTCTAGCTCTTTTCATGCCTGCCTTTAAGAATAATTTCATCCAGGTTTTACTTTTATAAAAATATTGAAATTGGTGACATTCCTAGAATGGTTTGCATTAAGCTCCATCCCCTTGAGATGGTCCCCTGAGTCATAGGTGGGCATGGAAATCTCAAACCGATTATAATCTTTGTCACTTTCATTCATATGCATTGTATAGAAATGAAAAAATGTTAAGTAGAGTACGTTAAGGAGTTTAAATTTAGAGTGAAGAGAGTTCTAATCAGCTAGACTTGAGGATTGCACCATAATGTATTAAATTAATTTTAAAATACATGTGTGAGTTGCATCTATGCTCTGACTATCTAGCTAGTCAGTTCAGGGAATGAGCCATTGAAGTGTGCTAGTAGGTCATTCATTGAATTTTAAGATGAAATGGCTACTGAGGAAAGATCCTTGCTATGATTTTTATGTATTAGGTAGAACCATGTGAAATTGGATTGCCATTTTATAAGTAAAAGGTAATTGAATATTGGCAATTTCATATGGTTCAATCTAATGGAAGACTACAGAATCTCAGAAAAGGTTCTTTTAGTATTTTCAGCATGTTCTAAATCTTCCCTAAAAATCATATATTAAAAGTTTTTTATTTTTAAGGAAAAAGAAATGAGAAGACAACAAGCCGTTCTTCTGAAACATCAGGTCTGTATACATATAGTTATATAACTGTTGAAATGTACATTTTATAATATTGCTCAAATCTATGTGGGGGAAATCTTCAAAATATGTTCTTTAAAAATTTCCCATATAATTTCTGCTTAAGTTTTTCTTTCATCTTACAGTTGATTGCCTTGCTTTGGTATTGGTGTCTTTTGGGGGGTTAAAAATTGGTTTTATGACTCTGTGATTTCTGTTTCATAATGTTGTGCCAACTCTTTCTACCAGGAGTTGGAGAGGCATAGACTAGATATGGTATGGGTATGTTTATTTTTGTACATCTAACACCGCATTGTGATTTGGTTGTGATATGGTTGTCATAGCAATGCATAAAGTGTAGCACTGGCTGCTGTCATATTACATACTGCTGCATGGCTTTACAGCACAGTGCATTGCATACATCTGCTTGTCTGTCTACAAAGAAGTATGATGCATCTCCAAGATTTTCCACTGAATTGTACAAGCCTTAAATAAGGCTACTCTCTAAAAATTCACATTACTGATGTCACAAGGAAAGTTGGATCACTATACAATTAGATACAATTATGACCTATATTCTCCCATCATTCTAGATGCAAAACTGCCATTGAATACAGTGGGAATTTTGAGTTTGCTTGATGAGAGAATATGAAATATTAATATATTCTGGTTTTATAGACAAATTTTAGAAATACTTTTAGAAATATCCCTTTGAGGGGACCAAATATACTTTAAAAAATTGATCATATATTATAAATATGTGATTTCTAAAATTTAAAAATAAAGCGAGATTATCAAATTAAGGTAGTCCTTGCCTTATTTTCATACCGTTCTTTTCAGATTCTACTTATTAGCCCATGGTGCAGCTTTTGTGGCTTTAAATAGTGCATCAAGTGGCAGACATCAGTAACTAGGACTATCCCATTTCGTTGGTGTTACAGATGAAACAAGACTAGTTTAACTAAATTGGTATAAAAGCATTTTAAAAAACTTTCTAATTTGGTGGTGGCTTATTGGATTTACAAAATGATTTTGTCCTTGAAATAAAAATAACCAATTCTAAAACCATTTAGTGAAAATGACTATAAATCAATTTCTTCCTGATCTAAAAATTTAAGAACACAACCTTTAGTTTAATTGGCCATAGTATTTATGGTTTTTCAAATAGCAGATGTAAGGTAACTGACCTGTTCCAGCCAACCATTATGCTTTTTGTTCTGCCAGCTTTTGAAGGAGCATCACAACTGACCATAAGTAAATCTTGTATGCTTCTGTTTACACTGTCTCCATGTTCATTGCTTTACCTTTTTGCTTTTGATTGTTCTTGTATTCGCTTTCTAAACCTGAACTAAAACATGCACAGACTGGCCATTCTTGTCTTATATTTAGTATTTACTGTGACTTGTCTATAAATGCTAAACATGCTGTAATAAGTTTTTTGGGTTTTTTTTTTGTTTGTTTGTTTGTTTTTCCATTTGAAAATCAAACTGTTAACTGTGGTTGAGTTATTTCCCTAATTTTATCTGGCCTAACAGGAACGAGAGCGAAGGCGACAACATATGATGCTTATGAAAGCTATAGAAGCTCGTAAAAAAGCAGAAGTAAGTGATGTTTCTAGAAAAAATATTACTTTATAAATTAATATTTTTTCCTAAAGCACTGACTCCTAAATATAAATTTTTTGGAGTATGGATTTGTCATGATTTACTGGCTTTCATAAGCAAACCAAAGGTTAGAGATAGTAACTGAGTGTTAGAATATAAAAATATGTAGGAATGGGTTCCAATGTATGTGTTAATTTTTCTGGCTGAAATTTTAATTATCTTTTTTTTAATGATATTGGTTTGGGTAAAAGTAGCTATTTATTACTATAACCAGAGTTTCACAAAACTAATATTACAATGTGCCTAGACAAGTCCTATGTGTCTTAATTCATACACTAATCATCCAAACATGGACTTCTACCCTCAGAATTATTCTTTAGGATTCTATGTATAAAATTAGGCATAAGTATTTTCCTTAAAATAGACACTTAATAGATAATTCAGAATTATAAAATTATTGCAATAAATCAAAATGAGCTTATTTAGAATTTGATAGAAATCAGTTAAAGGATTAAAATATATGTTACAAAGGAGTATATTCTGCATTAAAACAGTAGAATAGAGGTATAGTCATTATAACCAGGGTTTTGGAAGTTGAGAAACTTCCCTGCTGGCTCTGCCACTAACTTGCTTTACCTATTTTATTTCTTTAAAATTGAGACAATGATACCTACCTCCTAGGACTGTGGGATTATTAAGTGAGATTAGAATTTAATACATGAGAATTCATGAGACTGGCACTATATTTTGGTATTTTGGTCTCAGCTCTGGCTTAAATTAGGAATCTAGATTTTTGATATGTAGAAACAATATGTGTATTGTTTTGGAACGTGGTCAAGGTAGCCCAATTACCTGAATTTGAATTCTGATTTTAGTACTTTCCAGCTATATGACCTTGGGCAAGTTACTTAACCTCTCTGTGATTCATTTCATCTATAAAATGAAGATAATACTAACTCCTATTTCTTAGGGTTGTGGTGATAATAAATGAGTGGATATTTGTATAACTGTGTGTAAAGTTCCTAGAACAGTGCCTGGTACCACATAGTATTTATTTAATACATTTACTTACTACGTATGTGTTTGCTAAGTAGAATGGTCCTAGCAAGATGCATGGACAGGGTTAGGAGCTACTAACATGGATTATCTCTGAACATAAATTAGAGCATGTAACGTGGCATGTAACATACATTATAGCAATCACTTTCTGTGACTCTCCTAAACTTTATGGAGGTTTTGGCCTCACATTTTTTTTGCTATCTCTTTTCCCCAACCTGTTGATTATCCAAGGCCTTTTGGGACCCTCTACACTTAACATAATAATAGAAACTATATATCTATGCATGGAATTATAACCATAATCTCTGAAAAATGACAGCCAGGGAAAGGAAGAGGTAATGTGTCTTAGAAATTGGCACAATTGCTCTCTCTATTCCCTTCTGGAGCAGCACAGTGGTGGGAAGAGTCAGGAAGGGGATTAATTAAAATCCTGAAAGCTGAACTTAATTTTCTCCAATCTGGAAAGATGGACAAAACTGAGGGAGCAATTAATAACTCAGACAAAAGACCGGAAAATCCCTCAGGAGACAAATAACTCTTTTTACCAGAAAGAATAAAAAGAACCAATGCTTGTCATTCCAGTTTTTCCTGGCAGGGAGGAAAGATAAAGAAGAAAGCATTATCTCCAGGCATACTAAGATTTAGTAGAGGAAAGATCCAAAAAAATAGTAAGAATAAGATTATTTTAGAGAGTGAATACTCAGGTGAAACAGACACCCCAAAGGCCCAAAGATATGAACTTTCCCATTGGTTTTTCCTGCTTGCCAGCTGTGGTGTAAGGAGAGAGTAAGAAAAGCTGCTACAGAGAGGTGGGTAAGATCTAGGTTGAGTGGAGGGTGGCAGCCACCAGCATAAATAAAGCTAATTAAAATTAGATAGTCTAAGAATCCATCAAAGCACAAGAGCACCTTTAAGGGGAAAAGGATAAAGTGCATCAGGTACAGTGTCGCCAATAAAACTTAAAGCTATTAAAAACCAGGTATAGCTCCTCCTTTCCTAGCTATTTTCATCCTGAGAAAAAAGAAACATGGGTAGAATATAGAATACTCACCCTTAAATCTAAAGTACTTATAATTATAAAAACAGGTACCAGATAAAGTGAGAAGAAACTAAAGGAAAATTAATCCACCTATATTGGTGCAGTAGAAGTTCTTAACAGATCTGCTCATGTTAAGCATAAGTAATTTCAAAGAAATGGTAAGGCGTACATGCTGATATTTAAATTATTAAAGAAAATATGTGCATATATACATAAAGTAATAGTTTAAATCATAATACTTTAAAAAGCCTGGTTTCCCTGCTTTCATTATTACTTCCTTCAGCACTCCCTATGCATTCTCACAGAGCAACCAGAGTGATCTTTCAAAAAGTAAGCCAGGTCGTATCCTGACACTATCCAGTGGCTTCTCGCTGCAATTGTAATAAAGTTCAAACTCCTCACCTTGACACAGCAGTCTCACGTGCTCTGACTTCTGCCTTCCACTCCAACTTGTCCCTTATACACTATATTCCATTCATTTTGTCTTCTTCTTAGTCCTCCACACTGTATTGCTGTTTTTCTAGCACATATTCAAATGGTTCCTATTTGTTGTTCAGTCACCAGTCATATGTTGTCTTGTCAAAGAGGTTTTCCCAGAACATCTAATTTTGCCTTTCCTTACATCCCACCTCTGGAACTCCATTTCATCATCTTGTTTATTTTTTACTTTTTTATGGTCTATTTCCTCCCACAATGTAAGATCTATGAGGATAGAATTCTTCTATGTCTTGTTTACCATTTTACTGCCAGTACCTTGATTAGAACCAAGTATATAGTAGTGTAGATAAAAAATTGTAGATGAAATAATGAATGAGTGAGGGCATTAAAATGAAAGTTACAGTAGTAGAATTCAAAAAACAAATTAAAGACCAAACAAAATTATTAAAGAAAGATTATATTATTTTTTCTGTCTATATAATTCACTTTGTATGATAATAAAATCTTTTGATTTGATTTTATTCTAGGCAGTTTTCTTTTGTTAAGGTCAAGCATTCAAGGAACTACTATTCAAAATAGAAATATCATAACATATGTCACAAATAATGCTTAATTAGAATGTTTGAGAGAATCTCATAAGTAAAAGTGAATTCTTAAAATGTTATCTTTTGATAACCATAGACCTGTGAACAGGACAATTCATAGACTGGATGATTTTATCAGTCATTATGATTTTAAATTGTGTTCCTCTAATGAATGGCACCTATATAAGATCTGTGATCAACTAAATATTTTCTTAAATTCTTAAGCTATGGTTTTCCTAGCATTAAATTAGATACTATGGGAAAAACAAAAAGAATCTTCAAGATGCAGTAATCATATCATACAGATAAAACTTAAGAGTATAAGCAATTAAGCAATAACAAGGGATATTTTAGCCAGGTGCAGTGGCTCATGCCTATAATCCCAGCATTTTGGGAGGCCGAGGCCAGAGGATTGCTTGAGGCCAGGAGTTTGAGACCAGCCTGGGCAACATAGGAAGATTCTGTCTCTAAAAAATATATATATAAATTAGCCTGGTATGGTGGTACATCCCAGTAGTCCTAGCTATTTGGGAGGCTGAGGGGAGCATTTGAGGCCAGGAGTTCAAGAAATACAGTGAGATATGATGGTACCATTCCATTCCAGCCTGGGCAACAGAGCAAGAATCTGTCTCTTGAAAAAATGGCATATTCTGAACAATCCAAACTTTCACCTGGCCTTTTCTGTAAACTTGCACTTCAGTATTAACAAACATTCCTATGTGTACTTGCCCATTTCCTCATTATTACCTAACATGCACAAGATATAACTAGTGGAATGTCAATAATGGGCATATTTTGACTTCATATTCTGCCACCCATTACCTCCTAATAGCCCATATTTTAATTTTTTCATTATTAACTAGTTAAAGAATAAACTGTACTGTAAAATGAAGGCTAGATGACATTTAGGCAGGGACAGCTCAAAATTCTGAATTGGGTTATGTGTAACTCTTGATTCTAAACTTTAATACCTTTAGATCTTTAATTAGTAGATGGGGAAGAAAGAAAAGTAGAATAACAAAAGTACAAATGTTATGACTAGTATTGAAAAGATGAAGTTCTAAAAATAAATTGCTAATTAAAAATCTCCTGTAATAGCTGAAATTATTCTAAGAAACTCTCCACATCCATCAAAGTAAGGAGGTAACACAAATACCACTTGTGTGATTCTTTTATATATACTACACTGATCTTTTTGATTTGGTATTACCTCAGTATATTTTTCACTAAAAAAATCCCAAATTTCCACTGGTTCTCTAGTTTAGAAATCTAATCTTTATACTTTTTCTTTATATAAATGTATAATTTAAAAATTTAGGTTTAGGCCGGACGTGGTGGCTCATGCCTGTATCCTAGCACTCTGGGAGGCCGAGGCGGGCAGATGGCTCAAGGTCAGGAGTTCGAAACCAGTCTGAGCAAGAGGCTCAGGCCCCATCTCTACTAAAAAAACAGAAAGAAATTAATTGGCCAACTAAAAATATATAGAAAAATTAGCCGGGCATGGTGGTGTGTGCCTGTAGTCCCAGCTACTCGGGCGACCTGAGGCAGTAGGATGACTTGAGCCCAGGAGTTTGAAGTTGCTGTGAGCTAGGCTGATGCCATGGCACTCTAGCCCGGGCAACAGAGTGAGACTCTGACTCAAAAAACAAAAAACAAAAAAACCCAACATTCAGATTTATGTAAATTATCTTAATTGTTATATCAGTTTTAAAGGGCCATTAGTGTATCATCATAGTTCATAAATGTTTTCATAATATAAGAAAGAATAGTGTTTAGCTTCATGAATAAAAAAGGCTTATTATTTCCTAGTATTATTCAAGTAATATGAAATGCATCTGCTTTCATTATTACTAATCACTAGAAATAAGGTTGGTTTA